TTCAAAGGCGTTTGCCTATATTTCCTTTAATAAATTTGACTTGACTTGACACATACCTCAGAGTGGGCGATGATCATTCGAACAAGGTTGTCATCATGAGTGCCGAGGCCTTTCATGGTCTTGTAAAGAATCTCAGCATAGGCCTTATTCCTGTCGATAGCCGTTTTTACTGCAAAAGAGTTACTTAGATGTTGATACTATTTCGAGTATGTACGGCTCTGAATGCGATTATCGGGTTAGGTTCGGAACTCACCAATTGTCTGAAGAGCATTTCGATAGTCACTGGAGGTTTCTTTACCAATGGCCGTAATCAGATCGTGGCCAACTGCCTTGAAATTTAAAAAAAACACGTTACGTTATTGGCACCACTTGCTTTTGGGTTTTGCAAAGTTAAAGTTTATCAACAAGCTCCGTCTTACCGCGTTGTAGTGCTCGTTGATTTTAACAATGTCCTTCCAGCTGCGGGTGACAAGGATCCGTGTGAAGGTGGCTTCGTCCGTACCCAATTTCCTGTAAATTGGAACGCACCCTATTAATAAGGAATTTTTTGCAAACAGAACAGCAATTTTTTTCTCGCTGTTTTAGAACAAAGTGAAAAAGATTAGGGTTCACATTTAATGATGAACCTTTAATTTGTATCAGCATAAATTATGTTTATGTAAGGACATTAAAGTTTCTCTCCGGAATATGCAGAATCATGAATGCGATTACATTTGAAGTTAAGTCAACTTACGCTTCGCCACCCTTGTAGAGTTCCTCACAGTCTGCGCGAATTGTAGCCTCGTCCACATCTACACCTCTTTTACCCTGGAGGAGGGCAATCAGCACCTTCTCGAAGTCCCTGGTAGTATCGTGTTTGACATCAAGCTCCAGATTCCTTCGAAGAGCTGAGGTAATCGTAAAAGGCCATTGTCACATGCTATATTCATTTCAGTGTTATGTAAGCAGCATTAGAGCACGCTACATTTCAGATATGCTTACCATTTTGTTTTTCTTCGACGAGAACTTAAAGGGAGAGAAAAACGGAGTCAGTACAAGAGATCAAACGCTTTCTGAAAATCAAGTGTTGTCCGAAATTTGTCAACGGTTTGGTGTATTCAGTATTTGATGGATATGGAGAATTTAACTGAATGCTTAGGAAAATGTGATAACACGGAGTCTCGGTCGGGGTTGTGTGGCTCAGGAACTAACGCGCTGGCAGCTCTAATGCCATTTCATTAGGGTTTTGTCAACGGTTGTTGAGTTTTTAACTATTAACTAGTCAACTTCCGAACGTCCAGTAGGAACAACGCACTTTTTAAATTTTAAAAAACTAAATAAAATAAAAACCAAACGAAAACTAATATGTAAAAGCATTTTTTCCATGTACAAATTTAAAGCAAGCGAAAACGGCAGAATTTATTCGCACAAATAAATTTCGGGAGAGCTAGGAAGCAACCTATCTACGGCGGGAGAAACCCGACCTACGTAAGCAGTTAGACCATGTGATAAGGCTTCAACTGCTATGGTAGATGCATGTCACATTTAATAAACCTTCTATTCTGCTTAATTCCTGTCCCTACTTTTCTTTTTCAAGCTTAAAGGTGACATTACCGTTGACTATCAGCCACGTTAAAATGACCTTGTTATTATTGATTTTGTGAAAATTAAAAATGCTGTGTTCTCCACTTGTTATGTTATTCACGAAAAGAGAGGAAAGAGGTGAAAAGCTCTCCCGAAATTTGTTTGCACGGCTAAATTCTGCCGTTTTCGCTTCCTTAAAACTAAAAAGAGTTTAAAAAATTAATACCTAAACTAATAATAAACTACAACAAAAAGAGTAGTTAGTTATGTAAAGTAAAATAAGGTTTGGTTTACGAGGAACCATTACGCAATTGAACAGTAGTAGTGGTCCAATAAAAACAAAATGTTAGCGCCTCGAAACTAAACGTTTTAGCCTTCACGAAACTGCTCTGCGCTGTGATAGTCCTAGTGTAGAAATATAACAGGACAACTCACTATCCATGTAGGCCTTTTTCAGGGCCTCTATTTCCTCATTCGTGGATGTGCAGATGATATCAACGAGAACCTGTTCATCGGTACCCGCGCCCTTCATGGCCTTGTATAAGGCCTTGGCATTTACGTGTGCCATGTCGTAGAAGGAGTAGAGAACGGCTTGTCGGAAATGTCCACTCAATTCGCTGTGCAAACGGTCTTTTAGGTTCTTTTGGAGTTTAAAGCAAAGAGCGTTGTTTCAGAGTAACGTAGGGAGTAAGTATTCCATTTAAACTAATATGTAGTCTAATGTTTATAAGTGACCATTAATTTCGTTTAAGTTTATTATTTAGCATATTTAATTCATAGTTTATTATTTTTATTTAGGTTTATTACTTCTAACTTAGCTTAATTTTTTAGTTTATTAGTTCGTTATTTAATTTTGTTAGTTTTACTTTAGTTTTCTTTTTAGGATAATTAGTTTGGTTTAGGTTATTTTAGTTTTGTAGGTTACTGTATAGATTCATTAGTTTAGTTTAGATTTCAGGTTAGCAAAAGTCAGAATTCCGGGATAAGAATTTGGAGCACAGTAATTTTCTATTTTTACTCCCACTTATATTGTCCACCAGTATGACCCTTAATACCTTCGGTCTCATATTACATAAACCTTGTGCTTTGCTACAGTGGTGTTGTTTGTAGGGACAGCTTAACAAAAAAGTTTATTACTGCAATAAAATGTACATGAATCTGGCTGCCTTAAGTGTCCTCCTAGCTCATAGTTGGATTGTAACAACCCACGTACTTCCGAGACTAATACATTTAATTACAATGTAACTAACGTACCTTTCCGTATTTTGATTGGTAGGCCACTGCAATCTTCTGGCGTTGCTCAACAGAACGTTTGGCTAGCAAGTTGATGATGGCCATTTCGTCCGTGCCTAATAGGAAATGAAGGTTGCGATTTATAGGGTTTTGGTTTCAAAAAAAGCTTCACTGTCGCCTTAGGGCACTCCAGTTCACATAATCAAATGGCAAAAGTAACTTATGTAGTCCCCGTCATATACCTCTAGTCGCAGCCGTTGAAAACGATGGCTATAGAGTTTTGGGGGGTGGGGAAATAGTATAGGCAGAGAAGGAAAGTCTTAGAAGTAGGTGTAAAGTGAAAAAATGTAGTCAAAGTTGTTTCCCGCGGCCGCTGACAGTAAGTTGCTCTAGACATGAAGGTGTGCGCGGCGCTTGGTGCCGCAGACCACACTAATTTAACTCCTGAGTGGTAGGTTGGACTTCACGTAAGTTGAAGTAGACGACCTCCTAACTATCATTTCTATTTATCGGGAATTTCATAAAACCTGCAATTTGATAATCGGGCTTTTCCGCAATAGGTTAAACGATAATACAGAATAAGAAAATCTACAGATATAAATTAATAACACTTGTAATTACAATAAAATTAAATGCATATAGTAATTATCAAAGTCGTAATTACCCACCCATAAAATCCTATAACCCCCGTTTTCGTGGAACAACATGCTGGGAGTAGGGAATAATGAGGGAGTCTACATACGCTACTGTTGCCGATCACATTTATGGAGTAGTTTAAATACAATCTGATAGAAACAGTGAAACGATTAAGAAGCATAAAATGGGGGAAATGCGGAAAATAGATTAAACTAACCGAGTCCCTTCATGGCTTTTTCCAGGGTCTCCGCATCTTCCTGGGGGTTCATGTACGAAATGGGCTGAACGGTGCCTTGATTCGACATGGTCTTCTGTACAAATAAAAATGCAGTGAAGTTAAGAAAGACGTATAAGAAGGAGCGCACGCTAGATAATACGTTGCCTTCATCTAAACTCCCAAGTTTCCCGTGCAAGATAGCGCTCACCTATAGTCAACGTTAGAATTCGCATGGAGCATAAAGAAGTGTAATACATACGTAGAGAAAACAAACTTAATACATCGTGCTAAAAGTAAAACCTTTGCCGCAAGTTTATGGCGAAGTTGCGCGACACTTACATCGAAACTAGTTAAAAGCGAGTAAAGATGTTAACAAAATTAGCGCTTTAATATCTCTCGCTAGGTTCACTGACAGACCTCGACAT